TGTGTCGCTCACCCTCTTCGTGGAGGAGCAACACAGGACCCTGCGCTGTTCTTTCGTCTGCTCGGCCCTCCCCGGGTTTGCTGCTGGTTCTTCCCGGGTTGGCTACTATCCCTTCCACCTCCGTGGAAGGGCAGTTCCCCCTGGCCACATTCCCCACTTCCGCAGGGGAGCGGCACACCGCCGGCCGGCTTTCTCGGGGGCTGCACGGGTGTTCCTTCAGCTAGATGTTCCCCTTAGATGTTCCTGGTGCATGCCGTCTCTCTCCTCCCTTATAGTCCTCTTCTGCCAATCCCAACTCGGCTGCCCACACGCCGAGTACGCTGCTCTCCTCCAATCAGGAGTAGGTCCTACAGTTTATTGGTTGAACTGGAGGCAGCTGCGTAGAAGCTGTTTTCTCCTCTCCCAGCGCCATATTGTGGGAGAGCAGATGCATAGAATAAGTCTTAATTCCAGTAACTCAGTCCAGTCCGGTTGCTCCCCACAGAAAAGAACTATTCAGATGTGATGTACAGCCTTTTGGCTTATAAACTTGTGGATAGAAATAATATTTATTCAGTAGTGAACACAGAATGAGGGAGAAGCATTACAGGCAATTTGATGAACTCAATTTTGAACAAGTAGCTACTATTACTGTAGAAATTAAAACCAAAGGGTCCACAGGGATTTTCCCCACTCTAAACATACTAACAAAGGATGTGTTCAAGAAAAAGAGTAGCAAATTTTAGAAAAATGATTTTAATTTTTTTAATTGCATATGTACAAATACTAACAAAGGTGAATCTGAATCAAAAAGTCTGTATTAAACATAACTCTTAAACTGTTCCAGAACTTGCAGAAGTTTAACCCTGTGATCAGTCTTTCCATTAAAACTGTCTTCTTTTGCCAGAAATGTTCCTGAGTTATATTTCTGTACCCAGAATCCAAGTTTTAAATCTGGCTTTCAATCTGTCACGGCATTTCTGTCCTAATCCAGTCAGATGAGTTGGTATCACTTTCTTCTTATTTTTCTTTCCAGAATGAGCATCCCAGAATCATCCTTGCCTTTTCTGTGTCACTGGTTGAGATCTTGATTCCCATAATATTTACATTTCCACTGACATACCTCTTCTTGCTGACATTCACATTTTAATTTCAGTCGTCTTTACTTTTATAGATGCTGTTTCTTATACTTGTATTACTTTGTTTCCTTGAACCAGCGTCAATGGAAACACTACAACAGCTTAATTTGTGATAAAATCAGTGCGCATCAAACCACAGTTATTAGCTTAATATCTTTATTTTTTGTTCATGACAAATCACAATCATGTTCATTGTTTCAACAAAAATTTTGATGTGACCATTTGAGAGCCACATTCTACTCCTTCTCCAAACAAACAAATTTAACACTTGTTCCATTTCTTTCTTGAGCCAACTGTTATAGACTGTGACTATAATTTCCAAAAAGGCAAAATGATTCTCATTCAAAAGTAAAGTATACATGGGCCAAAGATTTTATTCGACTCATTAATTAATGGGAAGACTAGCAAGATGTTGAGTTCAGTAGCTTTTGAAAGCTAAGTATAAAATAATTAAATATGAGATGTTAGAATAAGATAGTTGGATTAGATACAAACTGATTTAACCTTAATCTTTGAGGTTTTTTTTTTTCTTTAACCAAACATAAGTAGTTTGTATCTCAAATCTAATATAAATACACAGGTTAGGGGCAGGCATTGGGCCTAGTGCTTAAGATGCTGCTTGAAATGCTCACATCCCATATTAAAGTGCTTGTGTTTGAGTTCTAGCTCTGCTCCAGATTCCAGCTTTCTGTTAATATGTATTCTGGGAAGCAGAAAGTGATAGCTCCAGTGATTGCTGGCTGCTATGCACCTAGGAGAACAGGATTGCGTGTCTAACCCTTATCTTCTCCTCAGGCAAGAACTATTGTAGGTAGTGGAAAGTGGACCAGTGGGTAGGACCTATATCTTTCTGCCTCCCAAATAATAATTTTTAAAAAATCTACAAATTAACCTGTAATAAATAATGAATCTAACAAAATACATTCATCTAAACCTGGGTGGCTCAGTGTCCTGAAAGTGGTGTCACACACCTTTGTGCCTTATTTCCAAGTTAAAGATAATTTTTAGTAAGACTTCCACCCTCTTGGACTGGACTAGATAGTTTTCTTTGGGTCTGTGGATTGTTTGTAAATAGCTAGTGAAGTAATTTCAATTTTAGTACACTTTGTAAATTTTATATTTCAGTGTTAACAACTGCCTAACAATGTTTAAGCTTGCATTTATCAAAAGTATATATTGCTTTAACTGAACATGAATGAAAAACAAAGGAAATTTTATATGATTAATATATTTTAAGTGAGTTGCTATGGAATAAAATGTTGAAAATTTTATATTCCCTAGGGTTTTCCAGGAGATATTGGGATTCCTGGACAAAATGGCCCTGAAGGACCAAAGGTAAAAAAAAAAAAAAAAAAAAGAAGTATAAATGTCTAGAGTTTTCTTATCTCAATTCTCAGAAAATGGGAAAAAAATCTTAGGAATATCTAAATATTTTAGAGTATTCTTTTCCAGCTGTCTCAAATACATGTAATAAACTTCTTTCAGAGTTCAGAATTAAGTAATTGAAATTAATTGATTTTCCTGGTTTTGTATAGACTTACATAGGGGTGATTCTATTTGCAAAGCATATAAATCACTCAAAAAGAGTTTCTTGGAAGTGATAGGGAGAAAAACCCACCAAATATGAAAAGACAGAGCTTATAGTAAATGCATGAGAATTTTTCTGATCACTCAAACTATTTAGGGTCCATGAAATAGCTACTGAATACAATGAAAGAAAGTCCGCAGTTTTTTGGAACCTCTTCTAGCACAAAATATGTGAACAAAGCAAAGCATTTTTATCTTCTTTGATTATTGTAGCATGTGGATACTTGGAATTATTCATAACAAAATTTTGAATGCTATGCTTTGCCCTGTAGAGTGGCATATAGGTTGGGTATTATAAGCAAATAAATACTATGAATAAAGACATGGGATGATGAATTAACCTGAACTTTGGAGAATTGGCAAGTTATGAAATATAGATGCTATGGAAGATAACAGTGTGAGTAGATAAGGAAATGATAGATAAAGCTACGGAGGATTTCAACAATAACTGTTAGCGTACTACAGTGTCAGAAGTACAGTACATATTTTATAAATATCACATTTAACTTTTGCAGCAGCATGCTAAGGTAGGTGTTATATCATTTTATAAATGGTTAAGTAGGAGATGACACTGTGGCAGAGCGGGGTAAGCTACCAACTACAATGCCAGCATCCCATATGGGCACCAGTTTGAATCCCAGCAGCTCCACCTCCAATCTAGCCTACTACTAATGCACCTGGGAAAGCAGCAGAGGACGTCCCAAGTGCTTGGGCCCTTGAAGCCACGTGGGAGACCTGGAAGAAGCTCCTGGCTCCCAGCTTTGGCCTGTGGATGTAAGATATCTGTGTGTCTCTCCCTCTCACTCTCTGTAGCTCTGCCTTTCAAAGAAATAAATATTTTAAAAAGTAATAGATGGTTAAATAATTCACTGAAAAAGACATAACCATCACATAGCATACACAGGATTCTTTTTTTTTTACTTTTATTTAATGAATATAAATTTCCAAAGTACAGAATATGGATTACAATGGCTTCCCCCCGATAACATCCCTCCAACCCACAACCCTCCCCTTATCCACTCCCTCTCCCCTTCCATTCACATCAAGATTCATTTTCTATTCTCTTTATATACAGAAGATCAGTTTAGCATACATTAAGTAAAGATTTCAACAGTTTGCTCCCACACAGAAACATAAAGTGAAAAATACTGTTTGAGTACTCGTTATAGCATTAAATCTCAGTGTACAGCACACTAAGGACAAAGATCCTACATGAGGAGTAAGTGCACAGTGACTCCTGTTGTTGACTTAACAAATTGACACTCTTGTTTATGGCATCAGTAATCACCCTAGGCTCTTGTCATGAGCTGCCAAGGCTATGGAAGCCCCCTGAGTTCACTGACTCTGATCATATTTAGACAAGGCCATGGTCAAAGTGGAAGTTCTCTCCTCCCTTCAGAGAAAGGTACCTCCTTCTTTGAAGACCTGTTCTTTCCACTGGGATCTCACTCACGGAGATCTTTCATTTAGTTTGGTTTTTTTTGTTTTTTTTTTTTTTGTTTTTTTTTTCCCTAGAGTGTCTTGGCTTTCCATGCCTGAAATACTCTCATGGGCATTTCAGCCGGATCCGCATGCCTTAAGGGCTGATTCTGAGGCCAGAGTGCTGTTTAGGACATCTGCCATTCTATGGGTCTGCTGTGTATCTCACTTAACATATTGCATCATTCTCTCCCTTTTTGATTCTATCAACTAGTATTTGCAGACACTATTCTTGTTTATGTGATCCCTTTGGTTCTTAGTCCTATCATTATGATCAATTGTGAACAGAAATTGATCACTGGGACTAGTGAGATGGCATTGGTACATGCCACCTTGATGGGATTGAATTGGAATCCCCTGGTATGTTTCTAACTCCACCGTTTGAGGCAAGTCAGCTTGAGCATGTCCCGAATTGCACATCTCTTCCCTCTCTTATTCCCACTCTTACATTTAACAGCAATCACTTTTCAGTTAAGTTTCAGCACTTAAGAAGAATTGTGTATTGATTACAGTATTCAACCAAAAGTATTAAGTAGAACAAACAAAAAAAAATACTAAGAGGGATAACACATTAAGCTGCTCATCAACAGTCAGGGTGAGGGCTGATCAAGTCACCGTTTCTCCTAGTGTTCATTTCACTTTAGCAGGTTTCCTTTTTGGTGCTCAGTTAGTTGTCTCCTATCAAGAACAAGCGGTTTTTGTCCCTTTTGGATTGGCTTATTTCACTCAACACAATGTTTTCCAAATTCCTAACAGGGATCACTTTTCAGTTAAAATTTAAACACCTAAGAACAATTGTGTGTTAATTACAGGGTTCAACCAATGGTACTAGAACAAAAACAAAATATTAAAATGGATAAAGTATTACATTGTACATCAACCGTCAGGACAAGAGCTGATCAAGTCACTGTTTCTCACAGGATTTCTAACACATATGTGTTCTCAAAGTCTGAGACCTTAACCATTCATTCAATTTCAGGATTAAATTGTTGAGAGCATTCAGGAAAATGTTGAATGGTTTCTCCATTATCTATCATGAATGGATATTTGAATCAAAGATATTTTAATATTAAAATCCTAGATGGTTTATGTTTTCAAATGGAACTTATGCCAGTGTGGAGGATGGTTTAAAGAAAGAAATAAGAAAGGCCTGAGTCCGGACCTCATTCATTCAGCAGATAGTCATTGACTGCCTCAGATGTGACATCCTTGGTGCTAAGCCATAGGGCTACTAAGATGAAATATTCTTATCCCTAATTTCAAAATACTTAAAATCTTGAGAAAGCTATATGGGAAAACTTTTATAGTTGTCCCAATAAATAAATGATATTATGTAATATTGTGAGAACACAAGTTTATGGGAACACCAACTTTGCAGGGATGGTAGCACTTGAGATGACATGATGAGTACAAATATGCAAAGTAGACAAGTGAGATATATGGCACTCAGGAAAAGGAAACATGAAAAAATGAAGGTGCAACATTTGGAAAGTAATTATACTAAAAATTATCCATTGTTTATCTCAAATTAAAGTTTAACAGCGTATTCTGGTATTGTTTAAATCTGGAAAAACTACAAACTTAGCCCTATATGCAGTAATGTTTTCTTCTTCCTTCTGTGTCCATGTAATTATTCTTCTGTCCATGTTCTCACATGTAATTATTACACCAAATCTGCTGTTGACTTTTGAACAAACCCGTGCCATCAATTTTCACCTTTATCTCCATCTCTCCTTTGACTCAAAATTTCCCCTTTGCCCTGAAAGTCATTCTTATTCAAAATATGTTATAGTGTAGGCCCTGTTTATGTTTTATCAAACTTGGTATAACAGACCTCTAATTGTTCTTCTTGCCTCCATCTGGCAGTCTGGTAGATGCCTCACATCTACTGCCACTCTGCTGCTGATGCAGTTATCTTTGTGAAATACAAATAACATCATGTCACTCTTGTACGTAAATCTTTAGTGATCTGCACAGATTTCTGGTTAAGGCTTGTCCTTTTCTTTCTGTTTATACAAGGTTCTTTCTGACCTAAACATTTTTCTATAACTCTATTGTCATGTAGTCAGCATCTACCATCATTCTTTCAAAATTATCATAGCCAAACCATTTAGGATACCACACCATGCCATACTTGTTCAAATCCCATTGCTTCTTGTATGCTGGTGGTTTTTTTTTTGTTTTTCGAGGATTTATTTATTTATTTGAAAGGCAGAGTTACAGAGAGAGGGAGAGACACTGAGGGAGGGAGGGAGGGAGGGAGAGAGAGAGAGAGAGAAAAAGAGAGAGAGAAATCTTCATCCTCTGGTTCACTCCTCAAATGGCTGCAATGGCAGGAACTGGGCCAAACTGAAGCCAGAAGCCAGGAACTTAGTATGTGTCTCTCACATAGGTGGCAGGGACCCAAGTACTTGGGGCTATCTCCCACTGCTTCCTCAGGTACATTAGCAGGGAGCTGGATTGGAAGTAGAGCAGCTGGGACTTGAACCGGTGCTCATATGGAAAGTTGATGCTTCAGGCAGAGGCTTTACCCAATATGCCACAGTGCTGACTCTTGTATGCTGGGTTTTTGTGTGGTTATTCACTACACTACAGAACCTTATTAATTTATCTGACATCTATACAGCCCATATCAATTAAGGAAGTGTGGGGAGCAACCCGGACTAGACTAAGTTACTGGAATTAGGACTTATTCTATGCATCTGCTCTCCCACAATATGGCGCTGAGAAGGGAGAAACAGCTTCTACGCAGCTGCCTCCAGTTCAACCAATAAACTGTAGGACCTGCTCCTGATTGGAGGAGAGCAGTGTACTCGGCGTGTGGGTAGCAGAGTTGGGATTGGTGGAAGGACTATAAAGGAGGAGAGAGACAACATGCACCAGGAACATCTAAGGGGAACATCTATCTGAAGGAACACCTGTGCAGCCCCCGAGAGAGCCGGCCGGCGGTGTGCCACTCCCCCGCGGAAGTGGGGAATGTGGCAGGGGGAACCGCCCTTCCACGGAGGTGGAAGGGACGGTAGCCAACCCGGGAAGAACCAGCAGCAAACCCGGGGAGGGCCGAGCAGACGAAAGAACAGCGCAGGGTCCTGTGTCGTTCCTCCACGAAGACGGGGAGCGACATAATGGTGCCGTGACTCGGATATGAAGCCTAGGCAGGGTTTAGTGTCGTTCCTCCACGAAGAGGGGGAGTGACAGGAAGCATTCTCTGTTACTCCCAAATCTAACTAAAAAATTGTTTCCTTGTATTCCTGGAAAAAAATATTATC